CTTGAATATCAGTTGAAGTGGAATGCTCAGCTCGGTTGCACATTTTCTCAGCGCACAAGGTGAAACTTCATCTGGTCCAACATATTTCTTCCTAGCTCCTTGAATAAATTTTCCACTTTGTCTCGAGACATCTCTATGTGCTCTATGGTGTTTTCTGGAATTGACATTGTCTGGTTCTCTGGAAACCTCATTTTGCACAAACACACTTTGGAACTGTTCATTTGGTGTTTTGCACATTTCTTTTTCATACTCTGTGATCATGTTCCAACATTCTTAATCTCTGGATTTTATCCTTTACATGCAGCTTGCTTTTATTGAATTTATAGAAAAGACCTGGATCTGTTTTACATTTGTCTGGTACCCCTTTCTCAAAGTTCCTTTCAATGTATGTATAATTACTCAAGTACAGTAATTACCTATGTGTAACTTACAGGATGAGAGCTACCCTCATGGTGTCTGTCTTCCCAGCACTCTTTTATCATATAATGCTTTGAAACTACTGACGGTTTTGGCCACTTCCACTTTCTCACTTAACTTGTTCCAACCATCTATGACTTTTTGCAAAAGAGAACTTTCTAATTTCCTAAACTTTCCAGTTTATTGATGTTCTTCTTGAGATATGGGCACCATACAACTGCTGCATATTTCAATTTTGGACTTACAAAAGTCGTGAACGGTTTCTTCAGCATTTCACCATCCATGTGATTAAAAGTGATTCTGAAGTTGGAAAATGACACACATGCTCCTTGCAAAATGTTGTGTGTTACTCTGGTGTCAGTCTACTATTCAAAACCACCCCCTAGCTCTCTTTCTTTGTTAGAGTTCTTTTATTCCTTTCCACATAATTTGTAAGTTGTTTGTGGTTTATTTTCTCCAATTCCACACTCCATAACATGGCATTTATACACATTGAATTCCATTTGCCACATGACACTCCAAGCACTTACTTTATGTAGATAAATTTAAAGGGCATGACAATCATCTACATCTCCTGTCTTCCCCTATTAACTTAGCATCATCAACAAACATGTTCATATAATTCTGTAATCCTTCCGGTAGATAGTTTATGTAGATGATGAACATTGCTAGTGCAAGAACTAAACCCTGTGGTACTCCACTAGTAACATTTCTCCAGATACATTGCTTCTGATTACTGCCCTCATCTTTCTCTGTGAACATTTTTCATCCATGTCAGAAGTCTCCTTGTCACCCCTCCAGCATGTTCCAATTTCCAAAACAACCTTTTGTGTGGGACTCTGTCAAAAGGCTTTATTAGGTCCAGATAACCACAGTTAACCCAACTATCTCTTTCCCATAGAATCTCAGTGGCTCTACAGTATCATAAAAATGAAATAGATTTGTTAAACAGGATCTTCCTGTTCTAAAACCATACTGTCTATCTGTTATTATGACATCACTCTCCAGGTGTCCTTCACATTTGGTTTTAAAAATTTTTCTAGTGTTTTAACTACAAGGTTTGTTAATGATACGGGTTTATAATTAAGGGTCTTTCTTACTGCCAATTTTGTAGATTGAAAATATGTTAGCATTTTTCCTATATCTGCTAAGATTCCTGTACACAGAGATGCTTGAAAAAGCAATTGAAGTGAAATGCTAAGCTCAGGTGTGCATTCTATCAGAACCCAAGGTTCTGAAACTTGAGATAGTTGGGTTGACTTAGCTCCATCTGGGCCAACTGTGTTGTTTCCACTTAGCTCCTTGAGCATTTTTTCCACTTACCTCCTTGAGCATTTTTTCCACTTAGCTCCTTGAGCATTTTTTCCACTTTGTGTCTAGACATATCTATGTGCTCTATGTTCACTGGAATTCTTATTCTGGCTGGTTTTCTAAAAATTTAATTTTACACAAACACACTTTGGAACTGTTCGTTTAATGTTTCACACATTTCTTTTTCATTTTCTATGAATGTTTCCCATTTTCAACCTCTGAATTTTATCTTTTACCTGCAGTTTGCCATTAATGAATTTATAAAATAGGCTGAACTCTATTTTACATTTGTCCACTGTCCCTTTCCATAAATTTATTTCTGCTTCTCTTCTCACTGTTGTGTAATTATTTCCTACTTCTGTGTATTGCTGGCATGTTTGAGGGTTTGGCCTCTTCCAATATTAATTCCATTTTTGTGTCTTTGGTCTCGAACCCGCTCACAGTTTATGTTGAACCAGTCCCGTTTCCTAGTTCTGCATTTCTGCTTTGGTATAAAATTTTTGTGCCATTATCATATAACTTGACATACATCTTATACGTCCTTACCCAACAGTAAGTCTTTACAATCAAATTCATTACAGAACTTTCTACGTTTCCCATAGTGTCCTCTCCTGAAATCAGGTTTTTCAACTTCAGTACTTCACTTTCCTCATTCTCTTCTAGATTATAACACATTGCATACTTTATATCCAAAAGGACATGGTCTCTCTTGTCCAAGGGGGTAAGGTACTGAATATCCAACCCATCTTCCTGTTTAGATAGTACCTATTGTGACGATTGTCAATAGTCAGAATTTGTACGTTTTTAGCTTTTAGATAGTAGTATACTGGTAGTTTATACTACCAGTATACAGTACTACTATACTACTATCTATCAAACTACTATACTACTGGTATACTACCAGATAGTAGTAGTTTGTAAGGAATTCTTTTAAAACAAATGAAGCTAAAACGTAAACTTAAATATTACTACGCCTAGTATAGCACACACATGTACTTTATTAGGCCTCAGATATCGTATATGATATCACATGTGTATGTTAGAATAGGTTAGTTTAGTTTGTCAAAGCAACACAAGTAAAAAATCGTTTTCTGAGTTGTCCAGCTCAATAGTTCAGATTTCTACGTTCTAATTTCATTATACATCGGTAGAGTATACATATTTTTCTTCCTCATTGTTACTACAAGTTCTACCAAAACAGGAGGATGGACTGGAATATCAAATATCTCTTCCTCTTTCCTAATAAATATCAAATTCTTCATTGAAGGAACATCCTCCCCTCTCATCCTCATAGCAAGTTTAATGTATAGATACACGAATGTCTCCAGGATGAAGTTTACGAAACTGCCAGTCCAAAAGTCCTTTGTCCTTTCTTCGTAAGTCTCCCAGTCTATGGATTTCAATTTGACGTCACAGAGTACCAACAGTCATGATCTATCTTTATCCGCTCTTACTATAATCTCTCTCATGATTGTTATGAAGCCCTCTCATGTGTTGTCCACTTCCTTCTTTGTCCATTTGTTGCAAGCCGGTGGACTGTAGCTATTTATGATTATCAGTTTATCATCCTGATTACAAATCTCCAGTGGTATTATGTCAACTTCTCATGAATTGGCATTCATTATTTAATTTACTTTTAGGTGTTCCTTCACCAGCACAGTAATGCCTCCACCTTTCCTAATTTTTCTGTTCCGTCTCCAAATTGAGTACCTCTTTGGGAATACAACCTAACTTGAAATATTATCCTCGGGTTTTGTCTCCGTTAGTGCAACAATGTCTGGCGTCTTCAGCTGTATTACAGGTATATCATTTAGCTCCAATATTTTTTTTTATCTCCATCTATGTTAGTACTGTACATATAATTTCCAGGAATATGTTCCCTCTTCCTTTGTTCTTTACTCTCCCTCCCTAATAATTTGTAGGTACAGTAAAAGAATAGATATTTTATTCATTCCTGCACTTATTTAGACCTTTTACTTCAATAGTGTCATAGTGTACTTGTGCTTGTTCAATTTATATACATTATAACTAATTTGTAGGAAACATATCATTTGACTTGAAGCTCTCAAATATTTGTGCATAAATTAATATATATACTGTGTATATATATATATATATATATATATATATATATATATATATATATATATATATATATATATATATATATATATATATATTACTCTATTTCCATTACTCTACATAATTGATTAGTGCCCACTTGATTACAGTAAATACACCAAATGTACAAACATCTCTAAAACATTAAGAATATTTTTTACCTTATTTTCATGTAATATTATATGCACCAAAAAATATAAGATATTTTATGTCATAGTAGTACAACCATCATATTTTCAGTTTGAACATGTTGCAAATAAGTGTTAGTTTGTAAATTTATTTTATAATTTTTGTCTGAGTATTAATTTTACGCCCCAGCGTCCTTGTATTCCTGTCCGATGAAATTGTGATAGAATCTGACTAAGCGGTACTCTATATTCAGTAGGCTGAATTATTTTTTAAGTCTGTAGATAAAGTTTTATATGGTATATTATTTATAGTACATTAAATGCTATATATATGTTGTGTGTTGTACACAAATGTAATGGACTTTAATATATTGGTTTCCTAGTCTTTCGTGATTAATTAAGATTTTTTTGTTATGAGCTTTAGTACCGCTTAAGTCTTGGGGCATTGGTAGTGCTGTGTGTGTGTTGTGATCGTGTCCCTCTTTCTCTCTCTCCCCTGTGCCCCTGTGCCCTGGCTGGTTCTGCCCCCAACTACCACCACCACCACCATCACCACAACCACCACAATAACTAACCACCACCACCACCAAACCACTATATTTGCCACCACTTGCCACCACTTCAAACTGTCAACACCAACCACTGCTGCCACCACCCTCACTGCCACTTCAATGGCTAACCACCACTGTCAAACATTACTCCTGTCACCACCACTATAACAAACTAATGCCACGAACAAATTAATGCCACCATATACTATCATTGCCATGCTCACCACCACCTTTTTCTTAATGACTTCAACTAACACCACTCACTATTATCACCAATTATTACCCCACCCTCCTTTACTTACCACTTCCATCAACAACCATGTACACTTATACCACCCCACCATCAAACTGCCACCACTACCACTAAACCACAACAAAACCACCACAACCAAACCACCACCACCACCGCCAATGCGCCGTCCAGGTGGTGGCTGGTCCACAGTGAACATGATGACGTGATGGCTCATTTTAGGCGCAAGTACGATGTCATGAACCCCCACAACCTGTACACACTTCTCGCTGAGAGGCTTCTGGTGCACGAGGAAACACTCACCCTGTCAACGTACAACTGTCTCTATGAGGTAAGTTACCCCTTCTCAATTAGTTTTTGTTAAAGCAAAAGGTTTTTTCTTGCCACCCATTTGAGTACTGCTTCATACTCACTTCCCCCTTCAGAGCAGGAGAGATTGCTGAAATAGAGGGAATACAGAGAACATAAATGGCATACATACACAATAAAGCACCTAAATTATTGGGATTGTTTTATAGCTCTCCAAATGTACTCCATAAAAATTAGACAAAAAGATATATAAAATAATATACATATGGAAAATACTGAAGGGGTCAGGTCCTAAATCTATACCGTTAAATAGCATCATACTGGAGTGAATGATATGGAAGGAAATGCAGGATAGAACCAGTGAAGAGCAGAGGTGCCATAGGGACAATCAGAGAAAACTGTATCAGAGGTTCACGGTTGTTCAACATATTGTACTCCCAGAGAGCTTAAGAAATATTGCCAGAACAAATGTGGATGGATTCAAGAGAAAACTGGATAGTTTTTTCAAGAAGTGCTGGGCTAACTGGGCTGTAATGGATAAGTAGGCCTGTGGGCAGCTCCAAGCAACAACCTGTTGGACAAAGCTGTCACAAGTCAAGCCTAGCCGGGCTTGGGGAGGGCTTGGAGAGTAGAAGAACCCCCGAGAACTCCATCCAGGTACATTCCAGGTACTTGAATGTCTTGGTATAGCGGCGACCTAGCTTCTTGCAGGGTTGGTATTTAAGCTCCAATTATCCAGGTGGTTGGGCACCATTCATTCACTCTATTGTCATATTCCAGCTCCTCCTCCTCATATCTCTTCCAAATGCTAAATAATCATACTGACTTTGCACAAAAGTAAAAATGTTATGAATGCGTTTACAGTAAAACCTCAATTCAACGAACCTTTTGGGACCAAAACCAATCAAGTACAGTGAGGGATTCATTGCAACTGGAGATGCTTCCAGGATGCATTTCCCATGCCTTTTGGGCTAATTTCACTGAGCAAAATGTTAATTTAAATCTATAATATAATAGACAACTACCAAGAGATGTCTGGAAAAAAGTAACCACATCTAGCTTGTTTCCCCACTTCCCTAGCCTCAAAACTCACTTTCAAAAGGTAGCAGAACCATCTGCAAAGATGGCTCTGCAAAAAGATTTAATAAAAAAGAATTAACCACATCTAGCAAATTAAATTTCCCGCACCCAAGCCTCTTAATCTCATTTTCAAAGAAAAATGGGCCCATTTTACTGAACAAAAATCTCTGCAACTAGAAATAAAAAAGAAGCAGAGAATTTGGTTTTAAATTCGTATACTCAATGGCTTTCTCAAGGACCCAACATGTAATGTTTCTGCCATCTATGAACGGGGTCCCAATATCCTAAGCAAATCCACACATCCGCTGCTTCAGCAAACTCTTGTTCATCGAATTGGATGAATAAATCCAGCATGGAAAGTGTGTGTGTGTTCCAACCGGAGATTTGCCTAATTGAGGTTCCTTGAATCAAGGTTACACTGTAAATTATTATTTTTTTTAAACCATGGCTTTAGAAACACAGTGTACATATACATTATAATTCATGTTATTTACAGTGTATTTATTTTCATAAATGTTTGGGTGACTTTTCTTAGTCATTATTGAATTTTTATATGTTTCTGTGGGGAACCCCGTCAGTTCCCTGAAGCTATCTGAACTGATATAATTCTATATTAGTTGGGGTTATCAGTCATAGAGTTCTTATGCCTACCAGGGACCATAAGCCAGAACCTGGCCCCCTCAAAGAGGTGCAGGGAGCAGTGACCTATAGCACTATACATTTAAAGTATGTCATACTTGCCATCGACCAGGGAAGGGTCCCAGAAATATAGGTGAAACAAAACAGATCACAATCTGGTTAAAAATGCAACCTACATCCTCAAAAGAGCAAAATAACTCCCCTGTAAAGAAAACAAATAAGAAACACTTCGTTCAACTAACCACCCACTTGTTAGCACTGCCACCATCCCCAGAGCTGGCTCGGGTCAGCCAGCTGCTAGTTTATCCACCATCTAGTTCTTGAACTGATATGTTGGCTGTCGTATGTCACCTCTGGCCTCAGTTTCCTGTTCTGGATTTTTGCCTTGTGTGGCTGTTCCTGCACTTTTGATGTGCGTTGGCTAGGTGTATTAGTGTACTGGAGTTGCATGCACCTAGGGACACCTTCCCTAGGTGCTCTGTAAGTACTGTCCTTGCATTTCTGGGTTATCTTCTCTGGGGCATTTGGAACTCACTCCCCATGGAGGACTTCCTTGCTTGTGGTTGTATTCACCCTTGGGGTGCATCAGGGGTCTTGGGGCTTTCCGACTTGCTCCGGGTAGAGGAGTGATTTTTGGCTGGTTGGGCGCACTGTGGCTAGCGCTAACTGCTATATGCTGTCATGTGGCGAGCCGATGTTTCTCACCAGATGCTAGTTTGCTAGTTGTGATGTTTCAGGGTTTTTTGTGTTTTTTATAGTTACTGGCAATTTTGCCTATTGTTATGAAGGAGGTCTGTTTAGCTCCTCATTAGGCTCCACCTAGGGTGTGGTGGTAGTCCTCCTCTGAGGCCCCTGAGGTTTCACATCTGCTACTTGCAGTCAGTTTGCCTGCTTAGACAGAGTTTACTGGTTAGCTGGCCCAGTGCCTGGGCTTCCTGTACAGCTCATTCACCCTATAGGCCCTGGAAAATCCTGGTGGGCTAGGTCGTACTACTGTATAGTTACTTCTTCCAAACCCACTCTCGTCTTGTGCGAATTCGAGGGTTGCTCGTCGCCCCTTGCCTGAGGTTGACAATCATCCTTACTGCCTCCACCATGCTGCCTGTTGGGCCCTCATTCTCAGGTGGGTTTCTCGCCTGTTACCAGTTCTGACATGGGACTGTGCAGATCACTGGTACATTCTTGACTTGTCTTGTCTTTCTGTCCTAATTTTCCTTAACCTTCCTTTGGATGACTATGTTGTCCCAAGTCCAGCTTATTTTAGATCCGGAGGCTTGGATGATTTCCTTGGACCTCATGGATGCATTTTGGCACTTACCTATCCATCCGGGGGTTCAGGGATTGGTTAGGTTTTGTCGTGGGGTGACGGGCTTACCGCTTTTGTTGTCTTCCTTTTTGGTTGAATCTGGCATCTTGCATTTTTATGCATTTGACTTGAGTCGTGGTGGCCTTCTTTTTTTGTCTATGTCTTTGGGTCTTGGTTTACCTCAGCAACTGGTTGGTGTGGGCTCCTGACTGGCCATTTGTCTGCTAGTCAGGGATCTGTCTCTTTATCAGCTCGCCGGGTTCAGGTTCCTAGTGAGCTGATGGAAGTTCTAGTTGGTTCCATCCCAGGTTTGGACTTAGGTGGGTCTTGTGTGAGATACTTGGACTGAGGTGGGTCTTGTGTGAGATACTTGGACTGCATCTCTTTCTCTTCCAGTTTTAGTCTGGCTTTGGCTGCAGTCCCACCATCATCTGTTTTGGAGGGGACCCGGGTCTCTTGGAGGTTGCTCGAGCAGCTGTGCGGGAGCCTGAACTTTGCTGTTCTGGTTTATCTACTGGGCTGGGTATGGCTTCGGAGGCTGTTCTGGTCTCTTCTGGGCAGCCTCTTTTTGCTGTTCTCGCGATAGCTGGATTCGTTCCCCAGTGTCCTTGTGTCGGTTGCTGCATCGCCGGCTTCCTCTTCAGGTTTTTTTGGGTTCGTTGCCAATGTACCTTCCTTGTTTCTCACTCGATGTGTTCATGGACGCCTCGTCTCTTGTTTGGGGCTTTGTGTCCAGTGCTCGCCAGTCCAGCCAGGGGTGTTGGCAGCTGTCCTTTCGTCGAACTCATAACACAGAGCAGGAGTGTGTGGCTGTGTGGCAGGCACTGCGGTGGATTCGACTTTCTCAGGGCTCTGTGATCCAGCTCCATTCAGACTGCTACCCTGTGGTTCATTGTCTCGACCTTCAGGGGTCTCTTCGGTCCATAGCTCTTTAGAGCTGGTTGCTTCATGTAGCTCTTCTGCGGAGTTCTTGGAGTCAAATAACCCAGCAGATGTCCTGTCTTGCTTCATTTCTCTCTCCACAGAGTGAACGGTCGTTGCTGCTTCGTTCATTTGGCTTTGCTGAACGTACGGGTGACTGTAGGTGGACCTCTTCACACTGGTGTGGTCCTGGCATCTCCCATTGTACATGATGCCATTCCTTGACTGCGAGGCCCTCGCGTTGAATGCTTTTTGGCAGGACTGGTCGAGGTGAGGGTTCCTGTACCTCTTTCTCCATTTCCAGCTGTTGCTCCAGGTTCTGGCTCAGCTGGAATCCTATTGGGGAAAATTCTTCTCCTGGCCCCATGGTGGCCGGCCCAGCCTTGGTTTCAGATGCTGCTTGCTAGGTGTCCGAACCCGGGCATTTTTCCATGGCTCTTGTCTCTTTCAGCAGGTTAGGCCGGTGAGGTACCTCCCTGATTTGACTTACTCCTCCGTACTACACGTTTGGTTTTTCTAACGCAGGTGTATCGCCATTTGTATGGTGATCAGGTGGCTTCTTTGATGGTGTCTCACCTATGGTCTTCTTCTCAGTGACAGTACAGTACAAAGTTTCGTGATGGGCTCTCCGCCATTTTCTTTTACTTCGTTGGGTTTCGTAGGTATTGAACAGGATTGCTGTATCTTTACTCTCTTGGCTTTTCCTGGAGTGGCGTCCCATACTGAGTACTGTCGCTTCTTATCATGCGGCTTTGGCGGAGCTGCTGGAGCTTGCATTCAGGATGGGTGTCACTTTCGCTTCGTTCTGCGAGCTTTCTCTTGCATTTTTTTGAGCCTTCTTGGTCTTTGGACAGGGTTCTTTCCTTTCTTTCTTCTCCTCGGTTTGTAGTGGTCTCTTTGCTTTAGGAAAGCTTTATTTTATTGACTTTGGCCTCTGGGGGTCGGGTTGGGAAGCTTTATGCTCTTCTCCGGCACCAGGAGTTTTGTTTGTTTGGTCCTTGTGGTCATTTTTTTTGCAGCTGTCTTCTTCTTTTCTGGCAAAGGCTGAGACAGCCAGCTTCCAGAGGGGTCCATGTGTTGTGGATTCTTGATTGATTAGGCCAGGAATGCATCACGTTCTGTGTCTGGTGACAGCTTTGTGCTGTTACCAGCGGTCCACCGGTTCTGTGTCGGTGGATGCGCTCTTGGTTGATCCGGTTTCCCTTGTTCCCTATTTCAGGGTTCATGTGTCTCAGGTTGTGCGCAGTGTCATAAAGTCTAGCCAATCTGGGGTCTACCCTCGTGCTCATAATGCTAGGAAGTATACTGCTCTTTCTCTCATTGGCAATATGTCTTGGGAAGATATTCAGGAGCGAGGGTTTTGGAGGTTGGACAGGGTCATGGCAGCCTGGTATCTTGTGAACGACCCGGGCCCACTGCGGCCTTTTGTTGCTTTGGCATGCCTGTTGCGGCCGTCTGTCTCTTCCTTGCGTTGAGACCTGCAGTGCTGCCACCTCCTGGGTAAGTCCCTGTTTTTCCTTTTTAGGGTAGCTAGCTTCAGTGAGCTGACGGGGCTCCACACAGAAAACCAGCATTGAATGTAATAAAACGCCAGTTTCTGGGTGAGCTCTGGAGGCTCCCTGACCCCCCTCTATCCCTCCAGTCAGCAATTTTCATCATTCAAGAACTGGATGGTGGGTAGGGGGTTAATTTTTTCTGTGTTTGAAAGTTACTTTTTGTGCATTTAAGAAGATTAAACTAAAGAGCAAGGTTGTTTTGATAGGTGTGGCTGAGCAAGTGTAGCATGTTAATTAGTATGGCAGTGATGTAACCATATGCAAAAGATAGCATAATATTTCTATTAAAGTGAATCTGTATCACTTACTTTTTATAGGAAAGTCCAATAGTCTTTTAGCAAGTGGTCAAGAAGTTCATTTTGGAGCTTAGTATTCAAAGAAGAGTCGGACAATATATAGACATCACATACTTTGTATGGTGAAGGGTGCAATTTTAATGAAGACTTTTTTTCTGCAAATGTCATATTGAGTTCACCTTCTGACAAATGCAGTTTGTTAGGCTTTAGACGGATTCTTTGTGTCTACCATTCTGTGTTGCTTAAAATATGTTGAAAATAGAAGTCGGCATTTTTTCTTAAATCCTTTACTATTTTTAATGAAATGGTTACCGGGCATAATTAAAATTCCAACCCATCCTCCTGTTTAGATTATAAGATTTGTAACTATGTGGACCATCATAAATACAGACATAATGACCAATTAGATGGTAGAAATTGGTACTGCTGTATGGAGCCGGTCGGCCGAGCGGACAGCACGCGGGACTTGTGATCCTGTGGTCCTGGGTTCGATCCCAGGCGCCGGCGAGAAACATTGGGCAGAGTTTCTTTCACCCTATGCCCCTGTTACCTAGCAGTAAATAGGTACCTGGGTGTTAGTCAGCTGTCATGGGCTGCTTCCTGGGGGTGGAGGCCTGGTCGAAGACCGGGCCGCGGGGACACTAAAGCCCCGAAATCATCTCAAGATAATCTCAAGATAGCCAGGCTCACCCAAGTCAGCTCTCTCTCCCTCTGTGGGGGTTGGGGGGTGGGGGAGTTCTTTTGCTTTTTTGAAGTCTTAGTTCACATTTTTAATGAGACTGTGGTCTGTTTTCTTTCACCTACCTTTCTGGGTACTTTCCCTGGTCAATGGCAAGTATGACGTACTTTAATGTAAAGGGGGTAAAAGGCAATTGCTTCCTGTGCCTCTCTGAGGGGGCCAGATTCTGGCTCGTGGTCCCCGGCAGGCATAAAAACTCTGACTGATGGCCCCAACTAATATAGCACTATATCAGTTCAGATAGCTTCAGGGAGCCCATTTTTTTTTTCTCCTGTAATCATTTTTGTTACCATGAACTTCATCAATTCCAGAATGTTATACTCTTTTTCCTACTAAGCCCTTCATCATGTCTTTTTTTTTTTTTTTTTTTTTTTGCATTTGTAATTAATTTTTCTTTCATGTGTTAACAGATCCTGACGGAACATATCAGCCAACAAGTGATGTATTGCAAACATCCTGAACCAGAATCACATTACCGGTTAGAAAACCCAAGTACGTAGAGCAAATAAGTTCGGTAGGAAGATTAGAAAATACGTGTTCTGCTTGTTAATTATTAATTTTTCCCCAAATAATAGGATGTAACAGGTACTGTGATCTCATGTCAATGAGGTCATTTGTTGAGGCGCTTTAAATTAACCATCTAAAGTAGATACTCTGCTATAGTGTCCTTGTACTGAACTAAATATTATGATTTATTTTGTATTTAAAGCTGTTAAATTTGTAATAATATTATATTTTTTAAGTTTCTTGTAAGTTGTATGTTTGCATTAAATGGTGTTTTTTCTTGCAGTGATCTTAAAAGTTTGTGCAACATTAATAAGGCAGAGCAAACCATCTGACAGTTTAATGGAGGTGAAGAAGCTGTTTCTGTCAGATATGACACTACTTTGTAACAACAACCGTGACAATCGTAGGACTGTTCTACAGATGTCAGTGTGGCAGGTAAATCAAGCAGTATTATAGTGCACTTTGATCCTATTTATCCCTGATTCGTATTCACTGAAGCCTTGTTCACTTTTGATTCTCCCCTTTCCTGGAGGGGTGACTCCATGTTAAATCCTCTCCTGACTAGACCACAGGGACAGTGATTCTTGGAACCACCTCAAGGTTATCCTAAGATGGCAATACAGTACTGATATTATGAACAAAATTATGTACTGTAGCATCTCATTATTTATATTTTTGTATTTCTTAATTGAACCCCAGAAGAAGTACAGCTATGATCTGGCCCCCAAAACAAAACTAAAAAATACTGATTTTTTTGTGTTTTGTAAAATGATAGATTTGCATGCATAAATTTAGGAAAATTAAAACACAAATACCTAAGTCTTTTTGTATTTTGTGCATTGGGAGATTGCTGAGTGAAAGGATCATCTGGTCTGTGGACTGGTGATGCAATATTGCTGACAGGCCAAGTAAAAGAGAAAGTTGTGTGGAGTGTAATTACCTAAGTGTAGTTACAGGATGAAAGCCCCACTCGTGGTGTCTCGTCTTCCCAGCACTGTCATAGAATGCTTTGAAACTACTGACGATTTTGGCTTCCACCACCTCGTAGGGGGCCTCGTAGCCTGGTGGATAGCGCGCAGGACTCGTAATTCTGTGGCGCGGGTTCGATTCCCGCACGAGGCAGAAACAAATGGGCAAAAGTTTCTTTCACCCTGAATGCCCCTGTTACCTAGCAGTAAATAGGTACCTGGGAGTTAGTCAGCTGTCACGGGCTACTTCCTGGGGGTGGAGGCCTGGTCGAGGACCGGGCCGCGGGGACACTAAAGCCCCGAAATCATCTCAAGATAACCTCAAGATAACCACCTCACTTATCTTGTTCCAAATGTCTACCACTTTGCAAAATTGTTAGATGGTTTTTGTGTTTGCTATTTCACTGTAGTTTCACACTGTCTAGAATAACTCTATCTAGTTACATGTACAGTAATTTACAAAAAGAGTGATTGAGCACTGTATATAGGCCTGCAGTGTAATATGCATGCATATATTGCATGTGAATCTGTTTATAGCACAGCTCAAAGGAAGTATTTTGCAATTCATTCATTTGCAGCTCTTGTCTGTGGTAATGCTGGCCAAAAATGCATTCAAATTCTGGTGGGAACCAATAGATTGTGGTTTGATGATAATCCTACTACTTGTGATACAAAATAACCTCATTGATAATAAGCAGTTAATAGTGATAGCAGACTCTATATGTATTATAACCAGATGACATCATTTGCATAAAACCTAGACGATGATAACCACATTTCCCTGGAGAATTAGCATTAAAACAAAAACAAAATGCAGATGTTGTATACACAGACTTTATGCCAAGGCATTTGATAAATTCAACCTTGGTGTTATTGCACACAAAATGCTTACAAGATGAATTACTGTATGAGCTCTGGCCAGATAACTGTAAACAATTGGAAAATCTGAGGTTACTTAGCGTAATGCCTGAGTTGGATCAGGAATATTGTTGCACACTAACGGCCCCATTCAAAGCTGGAGAAACTGCTGACTTGGAGAGTGCAAAGATCTTTTACCTCTAGAATCCACTCAATAAAACATCTAAATTATTGGGACCCCCTAAAAATGTTAAATCTATATTTTCTAAAGTGCAGGTGTGAGAGATACATTAATAATTTAATCTTGGAAAATATTAGAAGGACTGGTTTCAAAGTTGCACATAGAAATAACACCACACAAGACCAGAAGGCATGGCAGGATATGCAAGGTAACCCCATTGAAAAACAGAGGTGCAGTAGGCATGCTGAGAGAGAACTCGATCTACATCAAAAGCTGAAGACTTTTCAGCACTCCTTCCCTACACATACGGGCATAACTGGCTGACCTCTTGCAGTGTTCAAAAGAGAACTTGACAAGCACCTTCAAAGGATACCTGATCAACCAGGCAGTCTCTCTTACGTCAGGCTGCGAGCAGCCTCATCAAACAGCTTGGTTGATCAGACCAGCAACGATGAGGCCCGGTCAGAGATCGGGCCACAGGGATGTTGATCCTCGGAATCATCAACAGGTAGGTAGGTAGGAATGGAGCATTAACCCATAAAATAAGATCATTAGGAATAATGAGGTATAGTGGTGTGTTGGATTTTCAACTTTGTCAAAATGCAAAGAGTAATAGTCAATTAAATAAGAGCAAGTTCAAGTGCAGTGAAAAGCTCTGCATCCCAGGGCAGAGTCCTTGTACTACTACTCTTTCTCACTTATCTTGGATATAGACAAAAATACTTGTCACAGCTTCGTGTCATCCTATGCAGATGCAAAAAAAAAATCAGTATGAAAATTTCCTGTGTAGAAGACACTGAAAAACTTCAAGCCAATATTAATAAAGTCATCGATTGAGCAACAGAAAATAACATGATGTTTAATACTGATAAGTTCCAGGTGCTTAGATATGGTGGAAACAAGAAACTTAAAAGAAAAACAGGGTACAGGACACAATAAAACTTATAGAAGGAAAGCAACATGTAAAAGATCTGGGAATTATGATGTCTGACGACTTGACATTTAATGAACATAACCAGGCAAATAAAGCAGCAGCCAGGAAAATGATAGGATGGATTATGAGAATATTCAAATTCAGGGATCCCACAGCATTGCTTATACTATTTAAATCACTGGTACTGTTTTGTCTTGAGTATTGCTTAGTGCTCACTTTCACTTTCAGAGCAGAAGAGATTTCTGAAGTAGAGGGAATACAGAGAACATATAAAGCACGTATTTTTAAAAAAAGGCAGAAAGTGCTCAACAGAAAATTACCAGCTGATCAGCTTAACATCACACATCTGCAAGCTCATGGAGAGGATTTGCAGGGAGGAAATCATTTATCATGATTTAGTGAACAATCTTGTACAGTTGACACAACATCCCTGGAAACACAAACCGAAACTGTCTCTATTTTCTGCTTGTTACAACTTGTAATAAAGTTGTTACATCTTGGCTTAACGTGTTTATGACGTATTAGAACGTTGTTACAACTTGTTATATTGGTTGTTATAACTGGTTAGGAGGTGTTAAATCTTGTTCGAACGTTGTACCAATGTCGTAGTTTCGGTGTGTGTTTGGCGGGATGAGTTTGTTAAAAAATAGATCCTGCCTTACAAACGTGCTCATATTTTTGGAAACAGTCACCAGCTACTCAAAGGCCCTCCAATGGATGTAGTATATACAGATTTTGCTAAAGCTTTGATAAGGTACCACATGAAGGACTGGCAAGGAAATTACAGGCCCACAGAATAAATAGTAAAATACTAGAATGGATAAAACAATGGTTAAAACAAAGAAAAAAAAGGGTCATGCTAAATGGGAACGAAGTTTTGATTTGAGAAATGTGGTAAGTAGGATACTTCAGGGTTTTATTTTGGGGCCAACCCTTTTTCTCATATGCATTAATGACATAGATGAGAATATTACAAACCACAGGATCAAATTTGCAGAGGACACAAAAATTTATGGTAAAAGGAGTAATGATAATGATATTGAAGCCTTACAAAGAAATCTACATGAACTCCACAAATAGTCAGAAGACTGGTAAATGCTTTTTAATATCGACAAATGCAAGGCCTTGCATGTGGGGCCTAACAACCCACCTTGCGTTGCGGTTACATTGCGATGATTTTGGGGCTCAATGTCCCTGCGGCCCAGTCCTCGATCAGGCCTCCTACCAAACCCCACGCCACAACGACCAAATCAATGCTATTACATTACAGCAGATTGATGAAGAAAAAGACCTAGGAGTCAAAACCCAGCACTCACTAAAAGTTGCACAACAGGTGGGAGCAGCAGTCAGAAAAGCTAACGGAACTCTCGGAATAATCAAGCATACCTTTGGCTTTAAGAAAAAGAAGGTAGTGATTCAACTATATCTCTGGTGAGGAGACAAAATTATCATTTGGATTATTGTATCCAAGCATGGTGACTTCATCTTCGGAAGGTCATAGCTGCTCTGGAGAAAGTGCAACACCAAGCAACAAAAGTCATTCCAGAGCCAAGTTATCTGTGTTATCAAGAATGGTTGAGGGCCACATGCCTAACAACACTGCATACCAGGCATGACAAGGAGGATCTCATTGAAACTTTTAAAATACTGAACAAGTTGGAGGATGTTGATCCTGATAATTTCTTCAAAAGGTCAGATGTAACACAAACAAGGAGCAACAGTTTGAATCTCAACAAACCTCAATGATAGACTGAGACCAGGAGATGCTTTTTCACCCACAGGGTTATAAACCCATGGAACCTCCTATCCACTGAAGCCGCAAATGCCAAAAAACTGTTAGGTTTTAAAATACACCTGGAAATGAATATTAAGGCAAATGGGAGTTACCTTCAACAAGCCGCCGGCTTCCTGTCCTCGTCAAGGCCACTAGCGCTTGTGGCTCTCTGGTAAATCAGGGAACCTTACCTTACCTTACCTTGAGGTAAGGTAAGGTTCCTTGATTTACCAGAGCCACAAGCGCTAGTGGCCTTGACGAGGACAGGAAGCCGGCGGCTTGCTGTTGTTGATAAACACAGTTAGGAAAGGACTAACACAGGGAAAAGGTTAACTCAGGATATGATTAACACAGGGAAGGATTATCACAGTAAACACAGGAAGAGATTAACATAAGAAAGGATTAACACACTTTGAAAAGAAACAACACACATGCAGGCAGGATCTTCAAAACGTTTACAGGCTTCAACTAACAATAAATCCTGTTAGAATGAGAAATCTATTTCAAAATCTTATCAAACTAAACTACAACAAACTGCAAAAAGTGGACGGAGACATACCATGAGGTTATCTTGAGGTTATCTTGAGATGATTTCGGGGCTTTAGTGTCCCCGCGGCCCGGTCCTCGACCAGGCCTCCACCCCCAGGAAGCAGCCCGTGACAGCTGACTAACTCCCAGGTACCTATTTATTGCTAGGTAACAGGGGCATTCAGGGTGAAAGAAACTTTGCCCATTTGTTTCTGCCTCGTGCGGGAATCGAACCCGCGCCACAGAATTACGAGTCCTGCGCGCTATCCATTACTGCAGCTATGAGCTGCAGTAACCACTTTGTACCTGCACGAGCTGTATCAAAAATAGAATGCATGTTCTCTTTTCTGTCAAAAATGAGCAGCAATAGTTAAGACAAGCTGAAGAGCTGACACAGACATAGACAAGGTATATTTTGATAGATAAGCAATTCATTAAGATTGGTAAATAGGAGTCCCTGAGTGCCACAATACTATCTAGTTTTACCCCTTTAATATTCCACATAGCGAGCAGAGATCATATGAAAGACAGCTTTATGTGTATCACTGTAGCTCAACCATGACACATAAATACACACATGTGAGATATATGCAGCAGTTTAACTGAAGAATCATGCTATAAGGATCTTAGGGATTATAGGTCAGAATTTATTGGTCACAAAAGAAAAGACATTATCTCGAGTCCCCACCTTCTGATCAGTGGACAGTGTTACCATATCTGCTCCACTTAGGGGAATCCATCACCACAATCTCCATTTTTTATTTTACAAACAACACTTAGTCTAAATAACTAGGGTGGTAAATCTTTGTGATAGCCGTAAATGCCTGTCAAATAATATCCACTCGATATGTGGAATGCCTTTTCAGATGATTTTCTAGAATGCTAAATACTGTATATTTATCTTATGTAATATTTATAATTTCAGGAATGGTTGATTGCTTTAGCTTACATCCATCCTAGATCAACGGAGGAACAGAAGATTAGTGACATGGTTTACTCGCTCTTTCGAATGCTTCTTCATCATGCAATTAAATTTGAGTATGGTGGTTGGAGGGTGTGGGTTGATACTTTGGCCATTGTTCATTCCAAGGTGAGAAATAAAATATTATTAATTACCTCTTTATTATTTTAAAAAACATGTATAATTATATCTTTTATGCAATACAAATTCTGTATATTTTTTTTAAATATTGTTAAATGAAACAAAGATATAGTCATCTTTATTTTTGAACAGGTTTCCTATGAGGAATTCAAGCTTCAGTTTGCTCAGATGTATGAACAATATGAACGGCATCGGTCTGACAACATCACTGATCCAGCAATCCGGCAGCAGCGTCCCATCTCAACAATCTCCGGGTGGGACCAAGCAGCAAGTAAACAATATTATGTCAACACAGAGATGTACCGGAATGGATCCGGATCTGAGGTTGGTTTGTTACAATGAAAACCTTAATGTTCTATTTCTACAATTTATACTTGCTGGCTCTAAGTAGAAAGCTTGTATGTTGGGAAGCCTGTTTTCTCACAGAGCACATCATTATTTGTATGCATGGGATACAAGTGTTGGACTTGTATGGATGGAAAGTCATTTAGTGGAAATTCAAATATTGGAAATATATTCTTTTTCAGAACTAATGAACATAGCCTTCAAGAGGCAAGTTGGGTTTGTGTAGGTCTATTTGGCTATTTTTGGTAAAAAATACAGATAGGATAACTCTCAGATCATAAAAATGAGCTGTGTTTTGTGTATAATTGACATGCTGTATACATTCCTGATTTAAATAAGACAAGACATATTTATTTCAGGGGAGATTTATTTACTTGTTCAAAATTATCAAATGCATTAAATGATAATTTTTCCTTTTTTCAGATTGAGGTAGAAAAAACACCAGCCATTGAAAATGGAAAGATGTCTGTGACACCGGAACCTGTTCACGATCTCCCTCAAGATACTGAAATGGAGTCAGTACCAAGGGCTAATCAAGAAAGAAGAAGTGATGTTGAAAATCATGATGAGCAATACAAAGACCCAAGTGAAGGAAGAGAAACAATAGAGGATAGTATACTAGGGTATGAATTGCGAGGGACAAGACAACCAGAGATAGAACAGTCTCTTGAAGTTATGAGAAAAGATGATGGTGTAGATTTGCCTTCTCATCTTCCTAAAATAACGACAAATATTGTTTCTGAACATTCAACGGAAATCATTGAATTTTCTGCTAAAGCTGAGGAGGACAAAGATAGTATAGACAATGAAGAAGTTACCAAAAGTATAGAAGTAATAAATAATAGCAGTGTGGAGGTTGAAGTTGTGGATAACAAGTCGTTAGATAATAAGACTATAGAAGAGTGTGAAGAGAAAATAGAAATGGAAAGAATTAAAAGAGTAGAAAGTGATAAACAAGAAAAAGAACAGGAGGGAGTAAAAATTGAAGATGTGGCTAAAGAAAATGAGGCTGACAACCCAAAGAAAGGGGAGGGCAGTAAGAATGAGGATGATAAATCAGATGAAGAAGAAGAGAAGAAAGATGAGGACAAGAAAGAAGCATCTGATGAAGAAAGTTCAGTTTTAAATACTTTTTCTTCTCTAGAAGTTACACAGAAGCTGGAGCCTGAAGGGAAAACAGATTTGAAAGTTGAGAATAGTGAAGCCTTGGGAGACAGTGGTAAGGTAATTGCTACAGAAAAAGAAGAAATCAGAGTAGACACCTCAGTAGAAGCTGATGTAATAGTTCAAAAGCATGAAGAAAAGAGTGAAGAGACCAAAGAAAGTGTTCATGACATAGAGGAAATTGATGAGATAAATGTGTGTGGTGATGAAATAAAATGTGAGGTAGGAAAGATTGACACTGAATTGGAGCAGGGTCCAGGGTTTGGCGATGCTTCCATCCCTGCACCACCACCACAAGAGATGATTGCAACCATCTCTGGTAGTCTCCATGAGAAGGACAAATGTGAGAAGGAGAGAGAAGCCAAGGGAGGTGAGGAAGAAGAAATACCAGTTATTGATGTGATAAACAATATATCCATTAAAATGGAAGATGCCGGTGATGTACAGAGTGACATGCAGCCTAATGTTAGTGAGGTTCAAAGTGTTTCTGTATTTGAAGTTAAAGATCAAGAATCAGGGACTAAAGTGGAGACGAACATAGTAATAGACAATTTAGAAACTGAAAATATAAACAGTAGCTTAGAAGATCCCTTATTAGGTATAAGTGATGATACTGTTGTAAAAGAAATACCAGTGTCTAATGTGTTGGTGTCGGACATTAGTACGTTGGAAGTATCTGTTTCTGATGATGTAGTTACCAAACCTGTTCAAGCCTGTGATAATGTACAAACAACTGCTTCTTCTGCCTCTTCCCCACCAGCTTCTAGTCCTGTTAGTAGTGCTGTTCAAACTCCTAAAAAAGACTCGTTGACTAAAAGTACTAGTCAGATTTTGCCTGAAGATACACTAAAGCTGACCAGCATAGAAGTACAAGTGTCAAACAAAGAAGTACAAGACTGCACTATGCCAGATGTACAATCATCTACTAAGACAGAGGTTCAAAGTGTTACAAGTAAAGAAGAATCTTGTTCGTTAACTCACGAGACTAGAGAATCCCCACGAAGAGTAGACCCAATTTCTTCTAGTGTCGAAGTTGAAGTCACCTCTAAAGATATGTCAAATTTCTCAGGTACGGAGCAGGTAACAGAGAAGCAGGAGCACAACCAATTCTCTCAAAATGTTGCATTGGTGGCTGCTATTAGTTGTCCAGAAGTTGAAGCAGAGTCATTGTCATTAACTGAGGAATTTTCCAATTCAAGTTCCAAAGACCAGCCTAAAGACCAAGAGTCACAAACTGAGGAAGTTGGGGATGAAGACCTAAGTAAAGAAGAAATGGTTGACAGCACAGAGATGAAGGTTGAAGGTGCTCTATCTTGTGAACAGCATTTGGACAAAGAAGAAGAGAAGGTTATGGATATAGAAGAGACAGTCAAAATCAGTGATGTAGTAGATTTAACCAAGGACCAAGTAGATTTAGGGTTGAAGAGACATGGAATATCTCTTGCTGGTCAGAGTACGCTTGAGAGGGAGAAGGATAGACAAAGTGAGTTTATAGTGTGTGTGTATGCAGTATATATACTAGAAATATATATAGTTATTCTATTACAGTATCTTAATATTAAAATTCTAATTCTAATATTAAAATAATATTTGAAGCAAGAAACTGGTGCATTTCTCCAGTTGTACTCTTGTTCTCTTTTATAATTAATATATATATATTACCAACCGTGTTATGTCTGAATATAACATTACACATTAGACAATGTGTTTATTGTCTAATATTGCATTACTCATTAGACAATATGCTTTTGGAAATACCTAAATCCCTTTGCAAGCTTCCATACTTGGAAGGTTTCAAAACTTCTGAAGTTCTTGACCCATGTTCCAGAAAATTATATTTGCTAAAGAATGGTTTGGTTATTAGACTAAGAAAAGTAGTTACCAGCACTGAAAATGAAGAATATTTATATGAAATTAAAGCAGTTTGCCTTATGAATAGCTAGCAGCCCCTCACTTGCTTCCTGGTGTTCAATCACTTGACATGCAGCTGTGTAGAGACTTGATTCAATTAAGGTTTCCTGGCTGATTGCTTTTGGGACTTTGCTGTGTGGTGGGGGAGGAGGGGGGTTCCCATGCATTAATGTTTACTGTGTGTGTGGTTTACCTCTTATTTGCATGTCTTTGCTCTCTGCTTCAGCTTTGTTCAGAATTTCTTTCTCTAGCATTGATTGTTAAGATTTTCTGATTTCAGAGCAATCTTCTCTGAGCCATCTGCATAATCTTCAGTATGGTTCCTCTTGTTGTTTAGTGGTGGTGCTTTGGGACTCCTATTATGCCAAAAGGTTTGGTGTGGTTTTATATAATGTACATGTTACCTCTGAATTCTTCACTGTATCATGTTTGAAATGTATGTACTTGTATAAAGATAAAATTATCATCATCATTAGGTTTTGCTTACTGGGTGTAGTGTTGCTTTCACTAGGTCTCATCACTTTTGACAGGCTAGTTTAGTATGCGCCTCTTTTATCTAGTCTCCCATCTTGGATTTTTATTGGATAGAGGCTTTGTCTTAAAGGCTTGTTGATTCTTTCCTTTGCTGTGACTCTTGGTCAGGGTGTTATGGCATCACCTCCTGGTGCTGAGTTTGATTTTGCAGTTTTGCAGGGTGTAGTGTCAAGTTTTTCTACCCAGACGGCCATCTACTACTGCTTACAGTATTTCTTTTGATGCGTACTAGTGTTTTCACCCATGTGTGTGTGTGTGTGTGTGTGTATATACCCATATTACCCACACATGAGTATTCACCCATGTGTGTGTATATACACACATACATACATATACATACATACACACATCACAAGCAAGCAACATATTATGGGACATTCTGAGTGAGAAACATATGCATTTCTTCCTTTACACATGCAGTATGTTACCAGACATACAAATACTTTTATGACTAGGTACACAGACAATTTGTAATAGACATTCAGACAATTCAACAAAAGGTTACAATCTTGGTGCAAAATTCTTATCTCTCCAGAATATCATCAATCTTTCCGTTGTGACACATCCAGACTATTTGTTCAGGAACTGTCCTTATCTCAGTGTTTCTATATACATTAATAAACGGGCAATCAAGAACATAATGGTGAGGGTGTGACACCTTAACATACCACATAGTTTACACTTGGTGTCATTATCATTAACACCTATTCCATATTCCCAGTAATATTTGTACCCAAGCCTGAGCCGCATGTGCACAGTCACTCCAAGCATTTCTCCTTTTACCGTAAGTGAAATGGGTGTTTTCACTCACACACATGTAGTGTTGCATGTTTTGGCTTCCCTCATACATTATACCTCTCCTTGCCACTTCTGCCTGTGCCTGAATATTTCTAATTTTGCTCCTTATTTATCTCATTATGAAAACGCATTCAATGTCAACTTGTGGTTTTGATGTGGCACGTTTGGCCAAGTCATCCGCCTCGTTGAACACTATTCCAAGATGAGATGGAATCCACATGAATTTCACTTTGTGACCTTTCAGCTGTATCTCATTTATCCATCTCTTACAATCCTTAACTATGGACATGAAGACTGGATTTTGACTGTTTAAGGAATCAAGTGCTCCTCGGCTATCGACATACACAAAAACATCATTGTCGTCTTCAAACATCATTGTTCTTCCTCCAAACAAGTCAAAATAGCCTGCATTTCAGCTTGTGTGGATGATATATAATTACAGTACTAAGTCGAAGTTCAATTCATGGATAGTCATGCAGTTTTGTCATTTGGGACAGAATGGGGGTATAGACAAGGTCTTTAATAAGGACATACAGCACATTTGGCCCTCTGCAGATGTACCTATGTTCCTTCACTTTGAAACTCAAGCTTCCTATATATGTGACTCCATTCTTGCTACAATATGCAATGCTACATTGGATATCGTAGCATATCCAATGTAGCATTGGATATGCTACAACTGTGCTACAACTGTTAAAAGATGATCTATGTTTACCCCATTTAAAGATGCTGGCCCACTTCCAGTTGAAGTTGGGAAACTTTGCAGGTCATGTTACTTGATGCCTATCATGTGGTAGGTTCTGTCCTGGTTCCCAGCACTTCTTGCCTATTGCCTCAACTGTCTCCTTTTCAGATCTATACTTGTGCAAGAGACACTGAGGTTAAATTCTTTTGGTAATCCACTGATCTTAGCATTTTGATTTTCTAAAGCATTGTACTGTGGAGCGTATGGAAGGTAGGTTGCAGATCTCTTCCATGCTTATTTCTGGGTTTCTTTTCATTGCCAATGTGAGTTTGTGTGGCATTTACTCCAGGACCTTTTGGCACTTGGCTCAGTGTCTTCATTGTTGGATGTTGATGTATTTCTGGCAGTTATTTGTGAAATGTCGTCTCATGCTGAATACCATTGCATTTTATAGGTCATCTCAGTCAGATCTTGTTGTTAGGGTTCAGTCTTTTATTTATTTATTTATTTATTTATATACAAGTCTGTACATTGGGTTGTGAGAGTAAATAACATTGGCATTGTTGCATTGCTTCAAAGCCACTAACATGCATAGTGTTTCAGGCAGGTCCTTAACCCTTAAACTGTGCATGGTATACAGTATATGTATATATATACTGTATACGACGGGATCCGATGGTACCATAAGTTAAATTTTTCAAACTTGTTCTAACGCTTTCCAATTTTTTGTGCATAATCACTCCGACTTTGTCTAAATGATCACCAACGTAACTTGAAAAACAAGAAAATTAAAAATAACTATAAAATTTAATATTGAAAATTTCAGATCTTCATAGCTGCAAAAATATTGAATATCACCAATTGTTCATTAAGTGTTATTATGCTCTCAGAATAGTATATGATCTTTATTTTAATAGATTTAGAAAATAGATTTTCAGTTTAGTTTACTGTAAAAAAATCGTCAATATGGCATTTGAAATATGCACCAAATTCAGACAACAAAATTTATAACTCAAAACTTTTGGAGTTTATGAAAAATCCATTCTAATAGGATTGTAGAACAGACAGTGACACACACACTATATGCAAAAATGGTGAGAATCGGTCAGAAACTGGATTTTTTTAAGTTGACTCAATGTTGAAACTTTAGTTTTAGAGGTACTTGAAGTTGAAGTTATCAACAATGTATAAGGTAGTATTAATTCATTAATTTACTTGTATATTTTAATAAACATTGCTTGGCATTCGTACTCGAATATGTGAAAGTTGTAGTCAATATATGTTGATATAAAGTTAAGAAAAAATAACCTCCATAAAACAAAATATAGGGATAATTATAATGATTTAGGGGATATATTTAGGGTAAACTTTATATAACTCAAACAGCCCTAATCTGGTCCCTAATCATCAAAGCAATCTAAAAAACAGCGAAAATAGAGTTTGAAATCCGTGAAAAAATCGGCCAAAAACAATTCAAAGTCCCAAGTTCGGCCAGTTATGACTGGTTTATTTGTTGATCAATTTAATTCTATCTTGACATAGTTAGGGACGGGTATGCATTCTCCAGGATGTAGAGGTTACAACAAAATCAGATAATAAACAAAGAGAGAGAGAAAATCTCCCCTAAAAAAAAAAATTGTGGACATTGGTAAAAATAACAGGTATTACCATTGGACAATGTTTTTGTATGATATATAACAAAATAGAGCATAATAACAAACTTACTCAATAATATTTGTGTTATCATGTATTACTCGGCAATGCTATAAAGGCACCAGCTACATATCCACTTTGTGAGCACTTCTAACTATTATTCTTCTTCTTTGTGCATCGGACAGGTTCTTGTATCTCTTTATTACTGTGTTATCCCTCGCTTCCAGTTTATTGGAGCTGTTCTCCTTATCAACAAAATGTTCTTCTTTTTAACTAAATTTGTTTAAAATCCATTTCTGAAAATATTGGGATGAAACTTTCACGACGGTGAAGCCAATAAGTTGGAGATTTGTTTAACATTTAATATTAATTTTCACATACCTGTAATTCAAATATATTTTTGCCATATATACCTGGCCATACCCAGGGTAGTCTCTCTCTCTCCCCAACCCCCATTCCACCCCTCTTCTTTTTTCCTCTCTCTTCTCCCATCTTCCATTCCCACCCCTCCCATCTTCCTTCTAATCTTCCCCATTTTCCAGCTTCCCCTACCCTCCTCACCCCATCTCCCTTCCCTCCCACCCCCCCACTCCCCTCCAACCTCAGTCAGACATTTCCATCTCTATATAGAATGGGTATCTGGTTGCACCTGGATCTCTTCCTCTGTTTCCACCCTCTTTCCCTTGCTCCCCACTCTTAACATCATCTCTCCATCTTCCCCTTGACACCCCTTCATTTTTCCTCTCATTTACCCTCTTCCTCCTCTGCTCTTTCCCTGTTCCCTTTCTGCATCTTCACAAAATTTTCCCCTTAACCTTTCCTTGGCCACCCCCCTTTTCATCTCTACCATCATCCTAGCCCCTTCCTTTCCCCCTACTACCCCTTCAGTAATCACTTAAACAGCTGTATGGATATCTCAAGAGTGCTTTTCTCCTCTTGCTTCTGTTTTTCCCTTTTCCTTTCGTATGATCACTAAAACTTCACATGAATCACACTGCATATTTTACATTTGACTCCATGACAATGGCATCTTAAAGCCTAACTTTGGCCTACCCAACTACCCTATATCTATCGCATACACCCCCAACTCCTCAAATTTGGGTGTGGTTAACCCCAAGGGGCTGGCCTTCAACTTTGGGGCAAATTAACACTTTCGCTCACCCCGCACGCCACCCCTCAATAGTGCGATATGGGACCCAGGGTGTCACGGGAGCGCGCGTAAATTCTGAAAAGTGTATACTCTCTTCAACTTTGTCACCTTAATTCTCGTCCTACGAGATTAAATTTGGTATCATTGTGTTCGCAATAGAAATTTCTACAGCACTAAATGCATATAAACTCCAAAAGCCCGGCTAATTACCCGCAGCAGAGAAAGTGCGAATGAGTTACCCAGGAGCGCGCAAACGCGATAAAATGTTTTCACTATTTTCACTCTGGTCACCTCAATTTTTGTCCTAGGTCTTTCATTTTGGTCTCAATGGGTTTGCAATAGAATTCTCTAGAGGAACATTAGCATATAAAATATAAAACCTGGTCACGCTCCAACCGCCGACGAGTTGAAGATGGGCCACGCGTTAGCCGGGAGTGAGGGCTCAGACGCCTTCCAGCTACACTCCCAATTCCCTCCCTTTTCAAGCCTTTCTTTCGCAATTTTCTTCCTGGAATGGCCTTGTTCATGATCACTATCCATCGTGGAGTAAGGGTAGATAGTTTCTAAAGCCGCAGTAAGAAATATAGCCACGGAAAATAGCCGAAATGTTCACACGTTTGAGATGCGAGGGGAGGCGACATTGGTCACAACAGTGGAGCGAAAACAATGGGCCCACGGCATGTGCCAAGCCACCTGAGGGCCACGAGGCTCAACAAAGAAAATGGGAAGACATTTTAAAACACATTTTAAAACCAGTCCCAAAAAAATCGGATAAAAACCTGATTTTTGGTGATTATTTAAAGTGGATGACGCAATGCTGCGTCATCCCCGGTATTACCGACAGTAAACGGATGACGCAATGCTGCGTCATGCCCGGGTGAAAGTGTTAAGTCATTTTCTCTTATAGATATACTGTAGTATTCTCTTTATTTCTTGAAGTATGCTATTAACTGCTCTCATACTGATCAATGTCAACTGTCTTAGGTGATTCAGAACGCAAGTCAGCATCTGTTTCGAGAAGTTCTTCGATTGGATCATCCCAGTCACATTCCCGTCAAATATTCTCATCGGGACCTACACGGCCGCCTTTCCGGATTCCTGAGTTTCGTTGGTCTTATATCCATCAGAGACTACTATCAGATGTTCTCTTTTCTTTAGAAACTGACATGCAGGTTTGGAGAAGGTATGATGAAACAAAGCATTAATAGCATTTGCTTTACTGTTTAAATATTGATATATATCTTTTCTAAATGTTCATTCCTTTTGTGTAAAAGTTTGAACAGTGCTTCAAGAAGTATGTTGCATGTGTGGACAGTAAAGTGAAATATATTCTGTTCAGTTATAGGGTGAGCAATAATGATTAATATGTGGAGCATAGTATAATACAGTACACTATACTTTTACTGTCTATTGTAAGTTGCTAAATAATACAGGTAAAATGCAAGAATGATTTTAAGTTCAAAAGAATCTTACTTTGTCAGTTAAGAAATTTGCTATTAGTTGACAAGAATATTATGGCAGTTAATTGAAAAGCTCAATATTATTTGACAAGAATTTTACTGTAGTTAAGTTAGAAATCTCATGTCAGTAGACAAGCTTCTTATGGCACAATAATAATTTAAAAAGCTCCATATCCATTGCATCAAAGGGCAAGGAGCTTGGAATGAGAATTCATCTACTCTCTTTCACTAAAGGCCAAAAGCCTGTCCATTTCATGAAGCCAAAAACTAAGTAACTAATGATGATAAAAATCAGGCTTTGAGTGAATATGAAAACCTACTTTCCAAGCATGATCCTTGTATGTTTCAATATGGCAAGCTTAATGACAGTCTCAGTGTACAGTACAGGCTTTAGATACTCAAGGCAAGATGAGCACTAGCTCAACAGGGATCTCCTCAAAGCCTAGTAGTTGGATCATACTGCTGTTAAAGAGGCACTGAAGAAAAGTTCAAATTCAGCCCAGATTGACCATGGAAAGTACACCCATAAGCACTCAAAGTCCTTTTAAATCTCTATTTTGCATCACTAGAACTGCTAAGTAGCACTATGACCAAAATGCATGTTTCCAACTGACTGATTGCCATCGGATGGCAGTACCCAAGCAATTACCAGATCCTCAGCCTTGTCATATCACATTTAGGCTGATACAAAAAATATACAGGGTCTCAAGGGGATGAACAAGAGCACCTGGATGTCATATTTAGCAACTCTGAACCCATCAAGAGTCATATCATATGACCGTAGCAGAGGCATATGACACCCCACCTGGTTGTACAAAGCAGTTTTCCAGTCCATTAGGTGACTCACTATGGCTAAAAGCACCAGCCTAGTGGGCACAGTATCCAAGAGAACTGTTAATTCAACATTGAATCAACTTTATCAGTATTGAATTAATGGGTCTCTTGGATATTGGTCCCATTGGGAGGTAGCAAGCAACTAGTTGTAACCAGTAAGAGGTCACCATATTCTCAATCCTGATATTATGGGCCAAAGAGAGAAATACTGGCCGACATTAATGTAACTATGTCTCGCTGCAAGATCTGAATAAGCAAGGGTAGCAGGTAACCTAAACAAAAACTAGAAAAAGACAAAATATAAAAACATACAAAGTCATGAACAACTTGGTCAAAGAGAGACCAAGTTTGGGTTTATTTACCCAATAAAAGATTGGGTAAAGAAATTACTTACTAAAAACAGTGTTCCTGAGGAGTGCCTAACATTAATGTTTAATCCTGTAGTCAAGCACCTATGAACCATGAATTCACTGTAGTGGTAAACTTCAAGAAGAATAACCCACAACTTAAGCACGAAACTCGCCAAAACAAAACGGGACCTCTGGATTACCAGTCAGTTAGGCCACAAGACATAAAACGCTTGTTAACATGCATGAGAAGCATTCTGAAAATATCTACCACCTAAACAAATACACAGCATGAGCACACTGCACATGAAATCAAGGTTTCTAAGGAGAAATATAAGTTACATAAGTGGCCTGCCAACACTATAAGAGACATGTCAGAAGGAATGTGATAGGGCTTGAGAGTGGAGACGATGTTGGCTTGGGTGCTGGTATCTGATGGACATTAAAGGTGCCGGCTAGTTGGGAATCTAGCTGTTACATAATGAAATCACAATACAGTAATGTAATATATCTATGAGAAAATATTAAGTGAAGGTAATGGGATAAATTTCACATCCCAGAACTTTCTGACATACACACTCACTACTAACTGAACTTAAAGATGAGCTCAGTCATGGTTCAGTTGGTAGTGTGTGTCTGAAGAGTCCAGGGGTGTGAGCTTGATCTCATTACATGGTATCACTGTTTTCTAAACTAGCAATTGTTCAGAATGCTACGTGGTTGCCCTTGTGATGTGATGTGATGTGATGTGATGTAATACTTGAAAAAGTTTTGAGTGTTTATAGGTATGCTTTCTATGGTCACTCTTGTGTGGATTAAGCTCTATTCTAATGTCTCTCTAGTACCAGTATGACCCAGAAGAGGCATGTTGAAACTATCCCATCTGAACCGCTGCAAAATGTCATCCCGCCCTGACTATCGTGAATGTCCAGTTGGACATTCAGCATGCTTGCTCTAGGGAGCATCTGAGTAGAATACCTCAGAAATATCTGTAGAGAATATAAAAACATACTGTTCTAAAAAGAGGAAATTACAGATAAATATTTGAAGAATGTAGTAGCATAGAAGCTCTACAAGGAAATCCAAAATTATTTGCTAGGGAAAACAAACATACAGTACATAGCTAACACACATTTGCTATTCTGTATCATGTAAATTTCTTCTGTGTGCTTGTTATGCTTATAATTTTATTTTCATAAACGATGTCTAAAATTTTTATATACACATTTTTTTAGGTGTCCTTGAGGTAGCAGTTGAATGCCTCATCATAAATTGCATTTATAATATTTTGAATATGCATTTGTTTTTACAAAAATTTAATGGGATTTTAAGCCTTATAGAGAGAGTTTTCAAATTTTTTGCCTGTTGTAAGAGGTAACTGGAATGATACAAAGGTCTGAAAGCCTCCTGTTATGGTGTGCCTGGTCCAGCTCATGAAGCCTCTTATGTCTCATGAAGCTGGGAGTGGAGTGAGGAGAATACAAAAAAATAACTTAGAAGTAAACTTAGTCTCGGATGACTGTTTTCATTGATGTAGGTCTAATACTTTGCCTAGTTAAGAGATGTAATAGATCAGTTTAAAATCAAAACAATGTTTTCTCTTGCAGCCACTCAACCAAAAGTGTTTTGGACTTTGTCAACAACAGCGAGAATGCCATCTTTGTTGTGAACACTGTCCACCTCATCTCGCAACTGGCAGATAACCTCATTATTGCATGTGGAGGTCTATTGCCTTTGTTGGCCTCTGCTACCTCTCCCAATGTAAGATTTTTAATGAAAAGGCAATTTAATATTGTTTGTAGCAAAACTTGCTACTAGTAAATAATCAACTAAAAGCATGATTTACATTTTTACTGAACACGTAGCAGCTTCTATATTATGATGGAAGTGCCCATGCAGAATTTTCCATAGATTTTAATGTCACTGCTTATTACTGCGCTCTCAACATTAGTTTCATTGCCTTTACACATACACACACACACACACGCTTCCTTAAATCTTATCATCAGCTTTTCCTTGTTTTATCATTCACTCACCCTCTATGTCCTCTCAACCTCAACTCACAACCGAGGAGCCTGTGTTCGATCCCTGGGCTGAACAGAAATGGTTGGGCATCTTTTTGTACACCTGGTGCCTCTATTCACCTAGTGATAAATACATACCTGGGAGTTAGGCAACTGTTGTGGGTTGCATCATAGGACAGGTCATCTACTGTAAGCTTGGGGGACTTGGATAAGCCTAACATGTAGTGTTGCTCACCTTTTATGCTTTAAAAAATAAAGCATTGAGTGTATATGAAAAACACTTTTCTGAGCAAAATCATTCAGTTGCCCCATCGTGTAAGATCTTAATGTTGATAAACCAAAATTGTGAAAATTTGGGCAATATGATATTCTGACACTGACTTTTAAGGTATTGTACTATTCAAACATTCCTTTAGGATCATATAAAGTGCTAGGTAGAGATCACTCAATCTAGTCCAGAATGACCAACAGAATTGTGTGGTCATAAAAACTCATAATCCTTTTAAGCCCTCTCTTGCCATCACAGGTGAATGCTGATAAATCAACCCATCCTCGCACCTAATTCATCGAACTGCAAACTGAATGGACCAAGCTGTTTAAATAAGATATATTATTAAAAAATTGATGCACAATAAAAAAAAAAAAAATTCTATGCATTGGCCTCGCAAGTCAGCTTCTTGCTTTTCTTTTCTTTTTGTTATTTTATTTACATTTTTTTCTCTAGGCGATGACGCCGGTCACTTCGCAAGTTGCCCCATGGACGGGGCGCTGGGGAAGTGGCTGGCTCTGTTTGCCCACACTTGGTCCCACAGTTCGTTGGCAGTTCGGGGTCATGTCCTCTGGCCTGTGGTGGCATTGGGTGGATCCTCCTCTGGGGGGGTTCAGAGCTCACGGGGATGCTTCTTTCTCTTCCCTCTGTCGGGTCGTATTGTTCTAGTCCCACGCTGGGTCTGTGCGGTTCTTCGGTTCATACATATTAGCCTGGTAAGCTCTGGGGAGCCTCTGGGGCTCACCCAGAAAATGGCGTTGCATTACATTCAACGCTGATTTTTTTTACTGAGAGTAAAGGGTAATTCACTAGCCAGGAGGAACCAGGTACCTAGTTGCAAGATGCGGTTTTGGATGCAAACTTCAAATAAGTTGCGATCAGTTTTGAAGTGTGGTGCTTGTTCCTTAAGTAACATAGTTTGAAGTGCAGTCTAGCCTGTAATACAGGTAGTTTTCATAGGTATACATTGGAATTTATATAAATCCACAAACATGCAGAGTGCTTTGGACATAATATAATTTGGTAAATTTTAAGCTTAATGGGGGTAACAAACTGAATTTACTTGAGGGCTACCATTTTTATAGTTGCTTCAATGAGAACAGGAAGCCAGCAACTTGTCAAAGGCCCCTCATTTTCCTGATGACTTTTACCCAATTGAATTTTTAAATGCAGCATTGTCTTAGCATTTTCAGCTTTGGTGGGAAGGCTGTTCCATGCATTTGCAATCTTTCAGTGAAAAAGCATATGTTGTTTTCCATCCTACAATTTGGTTTGTTGAGCTTGAGGCAGTTCTTAGGCAAATCAATGAGGCATTGAAGAGTACTCCTTGTATGTGTTATATTTAACTTTTTAAAGAAGTGCTCTGGATCAACATTCTCCAAACTGTTCAGTATTTTGAATTTCAATAGACCAGCACTATCAAATCTGGTTTGAAGTTTGTTAGTCCTTTGGCCCAAACAAAAAAGTAAGTTAATTGAACTATTAACCACTGCACTATGCAATGTGCCTTGAGGCTCTCGATGGGTGGCGCGCAACACGCCTCAGGGATCTCATAGGTATAGCATAGCATTCAAAACACCCGACTACACGGGGTTCATGTCAGCTTCCTCAGGGCTCTCTTAAACAGACGCCAATTTGGAAAAAGAATTCATGGGCAACATTCCCGGGTGTGAAAGCCTCAGAACTGAGTGAGTAACCAAGCCTGGTGCATGCAGCATGAGCTAACAGCATTGCTGTTCAGCTAGTGACCACAGCATTGCCTAATAATGTCAAAATATATATGTAACCAGTATTATTTAGCGATGATAGTATTGCAGAAGAACCTGACTGTGATAAAGACTGTGTACAGTGTTCAGATATCAGTGAATCAATGCTGTTCAAGATGTTCACAGCACTAGCTATGGCACACTGCCATTATTTCGTCCATCTAGGAATCTTCAAACGACTTCTCATGTTCCTTTACAAAATAAACTTGTGGTGAATTATTCATTTACAGGATTTAGTGACCAGGATTCTGATAATAGCAGGATTTGTGGTGATAATTAGTGCTGTGCATAGTATTGTGGGAGGAGGAATTTTGGTGAGGCGGGAGGAAGGTAGCATCAGTTGACTGTGTGTGGCAGCCACTCTTGTTTGGACTCACCATACCAACTTAGTGGATTGTTATTTTGAACATATACGTAGATGGGTATATACACTGTGTGTGTATATAGTGTAATAACAGCAAAAACACTGTTTGATTGATCGTAGAATATAATATATATGGACTTTTAACATGTAAAAAAACACTAAATAATTCTACTTACTTTGGTTGTGGGGACATGGAGAAGGGGGGTGCCACCGGCAGGTCGCCCGTGTGTGAAGCTCCCAGATACAGTTGTGTGGGCCATTGAAGCACCGCGAGTTGCCACAAATATATTTTCAATTATTTGTTCTATGTATTTTCAGTGCGGTTTTATTTGTTTTTTTTATCGTATATGATGCATATTTGTGTCCTTTAAAATATATATATATATGTACAGTAGAATGTTCATAATGTTCCATGGAACTGTGATACATGTGTCAGTAATGTATCCACAATAAATGTTTATTGTCACAATAGTATTTGTTAAAAATTCAATAACATTACAATATGTACAGTTTCACACACTATTTACACAGTAACACACTGTATTACATACTCAGTACATCGGAAGTGAGTAATAATCAATGAAGTACTCCATGGTACACAGCGCGACTTCGCTCTCGTTGCACCAGGAACAGATAAGTTTTCGCTTCCTGTTCCTTCGTTCTGTGTGCTTGCAAATAACGCACTCACGTACACCCTTGGCTTTAGTACTTATAGGCAGTATGTAGCCAAGCTTGTAAAGTGTAAGATAGTCTTGAAAAGATTATGGGGAAAATATCAATTTGTAAGGTAGTCTTGAAAAGATTGCTTTGTAAGGCCCCTCACTGGAAGAGATTCAGTCATTCTCAAAGAGTGTCAGTCAATCAGGAAGAGATTAAGCCATTCTAGAAGAGATTCAGCTATTCTTGAAAATATCTTTGGAAAACACCACCATGGAAGCCGCTAACACTGTTCATCTATGCTACTTGTATCAAATGCATCATCACTGAACCCAGAAAACGATTCATCTATGTATCATCTATATAAATTAGAGATGGCATAGGTGGGTTAGGGTGGCGCTCAGAGCTACAACTGGATACGCTCGCTGTATCATCCTCATCGGTGCTGTATCACTTGCATCCGACCTTTGTGTTAGGTCTTTATTGCGCCTATCTTCAACAATATCATGACCCTTATATTCTTCAAACAATAAGGTCCGAATTTCACCGACAGAGCGCAATCTTTCAACATCGCGTCGGACAGATGTTTGGGAGCCAGAGGCGCGTGCGCCACCCATGGTTGCTCACTCAGTACAAACCCAGCCAGCAGCCCTAGGACATTCTGGGAATTTTTTTCAAGATGGCTGCCTCTCACTGGAAGTCCTAAGAGTCCATTTTGTACACAACCTACCACTCAAGCTTTTTGAATGGGTACGAAATATTCCAAAGGTGTTTTCTCGGTTGGCGCAGTTCCAACCGACCGAGTTTTCTCGGTTGGCGCAGCACAGTGATTAATGTTAATTAGGTATTTCTTAATTTATTTTTTAAACTTTTTGAAAGAGATACTATTTTTAAATCTCAATTTGGAGGTCATTCCACAGTTTAGGACCCTTAATTTGCACAGCATTTCTGCTTTAGTTAGTCTCACTTATGACACATCAAATACTGTAGATATTTGTTTCTGGTATGCTGCTCATGAGTTCTGTTATAGGAAGAATTAAATTTAAGGATTAGTATTGTAATTCAAAGTTTTATATGTACAGCGTATACTTGAGAGTGTTTGTGGTGATTTGACATTTAACATATTCAAGGATTTCAATAAGAGTGCCAAGTGCTGTCTTGGATTGGAGTTCAGTTTTGTTCAAATTGCTCATTTATGTTGAGTAATTAAGGGTTGAAGATAATTTAGGATTGTAGATCCACAGGCACAGATGTCATAAGTAAAATAAATTGTTGTATGAGGCCGACGTTCTATTAACTGGGCTATGAGCAGTCTTAAAAAGGAAAGCTTCCAGAAGCAGCATCCTGCTGCCAAACTGGAATTTTTTACTTTTCCTGACTACTACTGAAGCCCAGAGAAATAAGTAAGGCCATAGGTAAGATGTGGAAAGATGAGTGAATGATATAGTGTTACCAAAGTAAAGCAAGGTATATAGTATCTAATTTAAGAAAGAATGACAATTGTTTTAGACACTTTTTATATATGGCAATTGAAATTATGCTCATGGTCAATGTGAACCCCAAGGAATATCCCATCTACCCTGCACTCAATTTGAATATTGGTAATTCTTAGTTCACTTTGATAGGTGGACTTATTTCTAAGCAATATGTAATATTTTTTCTGGGGGGAGCCCCATCGGCAA